AAAAAAGGAAAGGGCAATTTTCACCCTGCCATTTGTAGCTCTGCATATGGTATTTAGCTCCACTCATAATTAGGAGTCAAAGTGAACATTTCTCCCAATGCCTGGCAAATGTCAGAAGCACCACTTGGCATCAATCTTCCAATGGAACTTCTTTTGAGTAAATTAGAGGAAAATATAGACTCCTTCTCAGCCCCATTTCAGCAGCAACTGCTTCCCCTCCCCCAGCCTCCATCTCCCCAGCGTCTCTCTATTGCAAAGATTGGGGGGGAAGGGGGGGGAGGGAAGCTTCGGGGAATTGACCCACCTCTTTCTTCTGTGAAAATACAGACGATCACTGTGTAAAAAAACCCCAAAAAACCCCCAACAACAACCCCAGAAAGCCCTGGGTCGCTCAGGAAGCAGGGGAAACGTTCCCGCTCGCTGGGCTCCGTCCCATCCCATCCCGCTCCAGTCAGATTAACTTTCCCCCCTCCCTCCAATCTCTTCCTTCCGAGATGGCCACTGTGGAAAAAACAAAACAAAACAAAACAAACCCCAAAACCAACTCCAGAAATCCTCCCTCGTTTTTGCGATGAGAAAACCAGTCCAGGAGAAAGAAAGAGATCGTCGTCTTCTCCTGCTCCAGTCAGCCACACAGGGAATGTTATGCCTACTTAGGTCGCCATTATAGTGACGTCAGGACCTGGTGGTGAGGCTTTCCATATAGGGGGTGGTGCCCCTGCCCAGAAACTCCTTGCTGTGTCCCTTCTGGGACCCACTAAAGAATTTTGAGAGGAAGAATGTGTTCAGACCCCAGATCCCCACATCATGTCCTCACTGCATTTCCAGGGATGCAGCAAGAACTTGGGGCGGGGGGAGGGGAGAATACAGAATGCCACCTCTCTATGTCATGCTGACCACCCCCCATGGGAAATTTCCCCTTTGCATCCGCAGCACTTGGATTTATAATGGAGACATTTCTTGCATTTGCAAGCACTTGTGAATGCAGTACATTTTCACATTGTATCCCAGGGGCTGGCAAATGCAGGAAATTTCTCTGGTGGGTCACGGGCCCGCAAAGAGCAGATGAAACCAGCAGAGAGGCAGCATTCTGACCCCCATCAACAGTCATATGGGCCATAATGGAAGCTGCAGCTGTAGTTTAGTTAACTGTTGGGGTTTCTAAATTTGTCTGATTAGAGCAGGGGTGGCTAAATTTGCTCAACTTAAGAGCCACACAGAATAAATGTCAAATGTTTGAGAGTCGCAAGACATGAACAAATATTACATGTTTTTATTTTAAGATATGCAAATTTGCTTTTTATTAACATTAAATGAGACTGCCAAAAATAAAGGGGTAAAAACAGATATTGATAATGATATTTATCTGTTCAATTATATTTGTTTGCTAATGATATTTATTTGTCTAAGAGAGAGAGAGAAAGAGAGAGGTGGAAAGAAAGAATGATAGAGGTGGAAAGAGAAACAAAGAAAGCAAACAGATGGGAGGGAGGGGAAGGAAGGAAGAGAGGGAGGGAGAAAAATTATGCCTCCCCTTCGCTTCCCCAGCTGCCCTGCCGGGAGCCACACAATGTGTGTGAAAGAGCCGCATGTGGCTTCTGAGCCGCAGTTTAGCCACCCCTGGATTAGAGAGACTGTAGTCTACTGCTAAGTATACTAGACCCCTCTATACTGAAAAGGGGAGGAAAGAAAGGTGGAGTAGAAAACAGAGTTGGGGCTGTGAGAAGTACAGAGGAATAAATCCTTGTGCTAAGAATCCTTTGTGCTGTCTTCTCACTTTGATCAAGCTACAAAATTAATACTAATTCTGTAAAAGCTTTGTATTCACAGACAATTATTTATATTGTTCTAATGATGTGTCATCATTGTTCTCCATCTTATGTTTGTTCTTGCTTTAAAGATAAAAATTTATAAATAAAATGTTTTTTTTAAAAAGCTACAAAAACAGCCCCCTAACTCAAGATCCCTTATGGCACATTTATTGTTTGAGGTCTACACTCCTGACACAGATTCGAGTCCAGTAGGGACTTTAGAGACCAACAAGATTTTGGGAGGTATGAGCTTTCAAGAGTTGAAGCTCCCTTCGTATCTAGAAAATTGATATGTGTGAGATCGAAGATTGCTTTAAAAAAAGAGCTTCAGTAGAGTTGGAACGATTGGTTAACGTACTGGACTTTGGCTGTGGAGATGTAGGCATGAATTGCAGCTTTGGGTCTAGATCTCACTAGGTGCGGTCAGACGGCGTGCTGAGATTCGGTTAAACTGTTCCGGTTCTAACCGGATTATATTTGATCTGGATAATCACGATCACACTTACCTCCCTTATCCCGCCTCACCGTGCAATCACGTCGCTCCCCAGCGTCTACACTACCAACGCGCGGGAGCGTGTGTCAGCGGGGTTTTAATTTTTTTTCTCAGTTTGCGCATGCGCATAGGCGCCCCTCCATAGAATGGGGGGACCAAACTACCATGGTGGTGCATGCGCAGAACCACCAGGGCGAATCAATTTAACCTCTCCAACAAAAGACTTCCCTTTAAATGTTTGACCCGAAAATGGCCTCCGTGAGATCTCGAACTCATCTAAAAGCTAAAACAAGTGACCATTTAAATGTCGGTTTTCTAAACGCGGTGGTGGAGCTCTGCCTATGCGCACACCGCCGACGCATTAAAAATTGGTGGGCGAAAAGCAGAAGCCTCGGATAGCTTTTGAGAGGGGAGGGGGTTTAAACCGGAAGTGGCTTGACACCGGAGGAGCGATCACACAGGGGGAAAATGTGGCTTTAAATAGGAGAGCTGAGAAAACACCACTTTGGGACCTGGTAACAAAATACTCCAGATTAAAGTGGTTTTGAGCCGGAAACCAATGGCTGGGGACGGGAGGCAGATGTTGACTGCGTGATCGTGCAGATAAAATCCGTTGTAAAATCCGTGGCTGAACCGTCACAACACCAGATCAAACGGCGTGTCTGAACACACCCAATGGTTATCATTGGGCCAGTAATTCTCTCTAACTCTACCATACAAGGTTGTTGTAAGGGGGGAAATGGGACTGTCCCACCCTCAACTCTTTGGAGGAAGAGTGGGACAGAAGAAAAAATAAACAACCTAATTTTTGTTGATACATTTTGGGTAAATGGAAAGGTAACAGGGCTGAGAGAAAGTTGAGAAACACCACTGTGTGAGAGGTGTTGAGGAAGTCGTTTTGGAGACACATGGATAAACGACATAGAAAGAGTTTCAGAGGGTAGCCAAGCTGGTCTGCAATTAGGGGTGTGCAAAAAAAACACAACCTGGTATTTTTTGGGTTAGTGTATATTGAATCTGAAAAATAGTGGTATTTCCCGATATTCACAAATCCAATACTGGTATGGTATTTGGATTTGGGAAACTCATTTTTCCCCTGCTCCATTATACCCTAAGGGACCACCCCCCATAAGGTATAATGGAGAATTGATCTGGGGGTATCTGGGGCTCGGGAGGGGGGTGTTTTTTGAGGCAGAGGCACCAAATTTGCAGCATAGCTGCTGGTGCCTCACCTAAAAAAAACCCCATTTAAAAAAGATTGAATCAGGGGGGTGCAAATTCTGTGGGCCCCAAAAGAAGGTGCCCTCATCCTCCAGTGATTTCAATGGAGGGAGGAAAAGGAGACTAAGCCCTATGAGGACAGGCTGAGGGACTTGGGAATGTCCAGTCTGGAGAAGAGGAGGTTGGGGGGGGGGGGACACACATGATTGCTCTCTTTAATTATTTGAAGAGCTGTTACTTAGAGGAAGGCAGGGAGCTGTTCCTGTTGGCAGCGGAGGATAGGACTCGGAATAATGGGTTTAAATTAAGGGCGGGAAGGTACCAGGTGGATCTTAGGAAAAACTTTTTTACAGGAAGAGTTGTGCAACAGTGGAATCAGCTGCCTAGGGAGGTGGTGAGCTCCCCCATCACTGGCAGTCTTCAATCAGCAGCGGGACAAACACTTGTCAGGGATGCTCTAGGTTGATCCTGCATTGAGTGAGGGGTTGAACTAGACGGAATATATGGCCCCTTCCAACTCTGTGATTCTATGATTTAAAGACATCATGGTCCCTTTAAATGCCATCTCCATGCCACATGACTCTGCAGCTTGGAGAACTCGAAAGGCATTTAAAGGGACCGCAATCCCCTCGAACACTTTTTAAGTTGGTCTATTTGGTGGTCCCAAAAACACTTAAGATTTTCAGGACTTTCAGGGCTTCGTCATTTTGGATAGACAAACAATATCCAAAATCTGTATCTGGCTGAATCAATACTTGAAAAATGCTCATAAGGTATTTTCCAGGCTTGGATTTAGCTGAATGCACACCCCTATCTGAAACAGAACAGCTAGATTAAAGACCAGTAGCACTTTAAGAGACCAACAAGATTTTTTTTTTGGGGGGGGGAGTATGAGCTTTCAAGACTCAAAGCTCCCTTCCTCAGACAGACGCACAAACTACTCTGTGGCAGCTGAAGAGCTCCTGAGCTACCTAGTTGGAGAGCTCCTGCTCTGGGCCCTGGTTTCTAAGCACTAAGAAAAAGAAAAACAGACAGCCAAATGACCAAGCAACTACCACCAAATGATAGTCGATTTTTTAAAAACAAAATGAGACTCTGGCTATTTACAAGAACTCCTGCACAAGTAAAGCATTAGAATGGTATCTTAAACAGTGTTAGCCTTTCCCTAGATAAACAAAGTACCTGGTCGTTTAAAAGGGTTGGGTGGTAAGAGAAGGTCTTTACTGATGGCAGAGATCCCCCAACTCCTGCAACCCCCCCCCCAAAAAAAAAACCCAAGGCCAAACCCCACCTCCACCCAAACCAACAGAAGCTATGAGATGCATGGACACACAATGCTCGTGTAGGGTTGCCAACCTCCAGGCAGTGGCTGGAGATCTCCCAGGAGCACAACTGCTCTCCAGGCAACAGAGATCAGTTCACCTGGAGAAAATGGCCACTTTGGAAGGCGGATGCCATTCTATCCCATTGAAGTCCGTCCCCTCCCCAAATACTGACCTCCTCAGGGTCTACCCCCATAATCTCCAGGTACTTCCCAACCCAGAGCTGGCAACCCTACAATCATGCCACCAGAGAACAGCTCCTGAAGTAGAAGGCAGTGCAGAAACATAAGCCACCCGCTAGCCAAAGTAAAGAGTGTGGATGGCCAAATGGAAGCAAACTGAACCTGGAGGATGAACTTTCCCTGTCAATCTTCTGGCGTTCCAGCTTGTGAATTCTTTTTTATAACCAACACTTGGCACCCTGCCTGCTGCACCAAAAAGACCCAACCTTTCACTCTATTAGAAGCTGGGGAAGAAGGTGATCGGGGAGGAACAAGGTGGGAGAAACCAGGGCTGCAGGGTCTCCCACCACTTCCTCAAGAAGGAAGCAGAATCTTTTGAAACATCCTTACCCAAAGCTCCCTGACAGACATCTGTACGGGTGGCACCGTCCACAATGAAGAGCGGGTTGCGGCACATTTCCTGAAACACACATCAGGTAGACATTTGTTGTTGGTGGTGGTGCTAAACACTGAGTCTTCAGCTGCCAATTCATCATTTCTGCTGTGTTCCAACATGCAAAATTCTTTTACAAGTCATTCCCTTCTCTGCCTTGTGAGTGAGATCTCTACGTGAACTCAGCAATAAAGACATGGAAATGTGACGATGCACAAATTATGCTAATATCTTTGTGTGATTTTTGTATTCTGACCAATTTATTCTGGTTTGAAGCTACCTGGTTCAGCCCCAGCAGGTGTTGGTTTCGGGGTTCCATACAGCCATACACTGTGCATTTTGTTTGAAAGATGGTCTGCACCCACCACTGCATTCTATGAGTTTTATTTAGGAAATTTTCTGCTTTCTACAAAATCAGAGCCCCCATATGACCATATTGTTTCCATTTTACAGACAGGTTAACAGAGCTGATGGTAAGATTTAATCTTGGCACCTAAAAGACTAACAACATTTATTTCAGTATGAGCTTTTGTGACTTAAAGCCCACTTTGCCAGATAGTTACATAATGGAAAATTGTACTGAGAAACCTTATGGGGTGGGAAGGATGGGGTGGAGTCAAAGCTTGGTGTGAATGACAATAGGAGAAGCTTCTTTGTTACTGCCCTAGGCTGGCAAACATGTTTTGGCCCCTTTCAAACAGCCTTTATAATCCATGTTAGCAGCCGGTTGCTAACAGATTTTTTGTGCCATTTCATTTTAGCTCCCGGCTGCTAATTGATTTTAGTTACCTTTTCATACAAAGCCACTCATGTCCCGTTGGCAAAGTGGGGGTCCGCTGTTTTTGATATAAACTGCTTTCTTCAATTTTCATCTCTTCTTTGTGCTTCTGAATTGCTGTAGTGTTTTGTTTAAAATGTCTGCAGTGTTTCCGAAAGTCCTGCTTCCCCCCACCCTTTTTCGCAGAGCATCTTTTCCCATTTTTTTAACATTCTAATTTTTGCATTATAACATTAGACCAATATAGCAATTCAGTGCTATATTGCCAGCATTCAAATAATTGCTGAATGCTGGTAATATAACACTGAATCACTATATTAGTCCAGTGCTATAGCAGAAAAGCTGGAATGTTAAAAAAAAGACAGAAAAGAACGTGCCGTGAAAAAGCCAGGGAAGAGAAACAGTGTGGTTTGAAATGGCCAGAGCCCTTCAGACACGGATCATTAACAGATTTAAATACACTGTATGAAACCTCCATCCCAATATATCTTACCTTGGAATCAGGTCAACAAAGGATCACAACCAGTTTAGAATGGCAATGTGAAAGGGGTCAAACATTTGTGGAGGTTTCTAAGGATATCTGAGCACTGAGATGGATAGAACAAAATCTCTTTGGTCTCAGCCAGCACCAGGGGCCCACAACTGTTTCTTTAGTTTACTAGCCATTATTTGTGGTTGCCATCAATCATCTCCCCTTCTCTTCTGACAGCACAACGCATGTGACAAAGATATGGGGTCCTTTCTCATTTGCACTGCATTTGGAGCAGACAAGAAACAGCAGGAGTCTCCCCTGCTGCTTAGACCAGACTTCCTTTATTTCTCCAAACTGCACTGCAAATAGGAAAGGGATATGCGCTGCTAGGATATGCTCCAGAACACCAGCTGCACATGCCTCTGGCTAGTGGATTTGTAGGGCAGTACCCTACCACTCCATGTGCGGAAGGTATCATTTTCCCACGGTCCTCTCCATGGCTACAGCTCTTTCTGACCTCTGGAAGGATCACTCCCAGTGTTGCAGGACCCAAGTGGAAGAACAGCTACACGGGTGAGTGGGGGGTCAGATCAAAGAAGGACAGGAGTTGACACAGCTCCTCCTTCCTCTTCTGTACATGCTGCTTCCCTAAGGGGAGGAGGCAATTTCATTCCCTTTACCCTCTGCACTCCAGCCCAGCGACCCTCCCAGCTGTTCCTTTGCATGGATCATGCAATCCCGAGAATGATCTTTAAGGGTGGGGTGGGGGGGTCAGAAAGAGCTGCAGCAATGCAGGAGACTGGGGGGAAAGGGAAACTGTCTGCCTTCTGCACACAGATGGCAGATCTCTGCTTAATAGGCCAAAAACAGATATTTTTATAGCCCCGACAGCGGAGATTTGGAGAAAGATCACATACAGGGGGAAAATAACCCCAGATAATGAGATAAGGAAAGAGAGCCTGCATATCAATGCCTCACCGTAGGCCGTTTCCACTTGACTCCGTATGTTTTGGAAGAATTTGGTCCCAGCTCCTTGAAACCCAGGGAGGAAGCCGTAGGAGGGTAAGAGTCATCCCGGAAAAGAGCTCCATTCTGCAAACATTCGTTCTGAATCCTCTCATAGTCCTGACCGAGGTACTTCACAGCATTCTCATGTTTCCCCAAGCCCAGCTCCTTTGCCCGTTGCTTCTGGACCTGTGCTGAGACTCCAGTACAGTAAATGGGCACGATGACCTCTTCTGCCATATTGAGCGGTCACTGGATTGGACAAATTGTGCCTGAAATAGAGAAGACAACACCGAAATGACTTCTGGGCAGCAGAACAGAGAAGCTTATGGGGACCCCATAAGTGGTTTCCAAGGCAAGAGACATTCAGAGGTGATTTGCCATCGCCTGCCTCTGTGTAACAACCCCTGGACTTCCTTGGTGGTCTCCCATCCAAGGACTAGCCAGGTCCGACCGAGTTTAGTTTCTAAGATCTGATGAGATGAGGATACACACACACACACACATATATACCCACACACACGTGTGTGTGTCTGTGTGCGTGTGTTAAGCCTCTAGCTCTCATGTTTATGAACATCAGGATAAACTTAGAATCACAGAACTGGAAGAGGCCATTACAGGGGTCATACAGGTCACCTAGTCCAACCCCCTGCTCGATGCAGGATCAGACTTCCTAATGGTGAGAGCAGTTTGGCAATACAAGGAATTATCTAGCAAGGTGGAGGCCTCTTTCTTCCTAGAGGTCTTCAAGAATAGACGGCCACATCTTCCAGGAATGCTGTTGCTCGGATTTTTTACACCGAGCACCGTATTGGGCTAGACGGCCTATATTTACACCTCACTTTTCTCCCCAATGGGGACCAAAACTCTGTCCTCCCCTCCTCCACTCTACCCTCACAACAACCCTGTGAGGGTGGTTAGGCCAAGAGAAACTGATGCAAGGTCACCCAACAATGGCAGAGTGGGGATTTGAACCTGGTTCTTCCAGAGCCTCGTCAGGAACTCTAACTACTATACCATACTGGTTCCATGCGGTCCCTGCCAGCATAATGATTCTAAGAGTGGAGATGTGTGGCTACATTTTGTCAAAGTTCGCAAAACAAACGGTAAGAATATTCATGACTTAAGGACACACACCTATAATATTGTTTGGATTTTGGTATTATTTAGTATTTAGTATCTCTATAATCATATTCATTTATAGTCTGCCTTTCTCACTGGAACTCAAGGCAGATTACATAGAGTAAGTCAATACAGTCAATCAAGATGAGACGCCCAATATGACAATGCAACTGAATTTGGACTGTGTTAAACAATGCAAAAATTACACAGTAGGATCCTACTAAAAGGCAATATAAGCTATACACAATAGTACAGGCTTCAGTCCCTAATTCATTACCCAAGTATCTTGCTGAAACTTTTTTTACAGTACAGCCTTATCATCTGTGCAGACAAACCCTTTTGAATAATTCAGTTCTGCAGTTTGTGGAAAGTGGGAGGCCACTCACCAGGCAGTCCACTCTGTAAGGTGGAGGATGAAGAAGAGGAGAAGAGTTGGTTTTTATACCCCACCTTTTGCTACCCGAAGTAGCTTACAATCGCCTTCCTTTCCTCTCACAACAGACACCTTGTGAGGTAGGTGGGGCTGAGAGAGCTCTGAGAGAGAACTGCAACTGACCCAAGGTCACCCAGCTGGGTGCATATGGAGGAGTGGGGAATCAAACCCTGTTCTCCAAATTAGAATATGCCGCTCTTAACCACTACACTATACTGGCTCTCATACGGGATGCACCTATATGGGTGCTTGTTGATCTCGCCCATTTGCAAGGTGGCACCTACAGAAGATGTTCAGCACTAATTGGAGCCTCTGAAATGATTTTTAGGGGAGACCAATGTAGATTGCATTACAGTAGTCTAGTCTCAATGTTACTGTGGTATAGATCCAGGTGGGCTGATTGGTTATGTCAAGGTAGGGGGCCACCTGCCAGGCTAGACTGAATTGGAAGAAAATGCTTTTTGTAACTTTATTAACTCGCTTCTCCAGCACTTGCAGGGGTCATTTCCGGCAGTAAAGAGCCCAGGGGGCGGGCACATGCAACAAGCCCCACCCCCTGCTCCCAGCAGCCCTCAGTCAGAGCAAGAAGCAGCCAGCTAAGTTGCAGAGCTCCCCCCGTCCCCCCGGTCCAAAACAGTCCAGTGGCACCTTTAAGACCAAGTTTTATTCAGGTACAAGCTCTTCCTCCTCTGTGAGGGCAGATTTGCACGTTCCCCCCCCCCCAATAGCTAGCAATCCAAAGCAGTCCGGTGGACCTTGAGCAGTGGGTGTTGCCTTCTGACACACTTCTGGTGATGTCAGGGGGTGTGGCATATGCAAATAAGTTATGCTAATGAGTTATGCTAATGAGCTCCTGCAGCTCTTTTTCTACAAAATGACCCCTGTCCAGCAGTAATACTGGATTCAGTATAATCCCTAGGCTCTTAACTGAGTCAGCAAGGGTCAGTTGCACCCATCAAAACTGGGGAGGACAATGTCCTTCAAGGCCTCCAACTTCCCAGCCAGATTTAACTCTATCTTCCCAGGGTTTCGTTTCAATTTTTTCACTCTTAGCTAATTAACCGTAACAGCCAGGCAGTGTTTCCGGGCTGTGGATAAGGGCTCAAAGAGCTGGGTATCATTAGCATATTGATGACAGCCAATCCCTATGGTGCAAACTTTTCTTCTAAAGAACTATGGCTCAAAACATGATGGAACTTTTTTTTTTAATGCACCTACAAGAAACTTGCAGAATAGGCTGTTTCACTCTGCGATGACACCCTACAAGAACAAAAACTGGCAGAAGTCAGCATCTCAGTTTCAATTTTATTTTTATAAATCAAGATTCTAATCCTTAAGAAAGCAAAAACAGACTTCTGACAGGCTTCTGACATAGATCAACTTTTGCCTCTAAGCTCCAAGAACTAGCTTTAGGAGAATTTCAGTTTTAGTTTTGAAACACAAGATCCTGGCTCCTATGGGCTGCTTGACAGCAGACGGGCAATGCCAGTGGAAACCTCAAAAGCCAAGGCAAAATCAGAGCAAATGAAAAATTGCTCCATTTGTAAAACTGGGTTGCAGAATCAAGTCCTCTATTGCACGCACATGGATTTATTTTCTCTTTTAAACTGGAGTACACACAGCCCTCACTAGTGTCAAAGCCTGCCAAATACCGTCTGCCCTGCCCTTGGCATTCCAGCTCTCATCTGTCAGTAGCCCAAAATGGTAATGAAGCCCAGTTGATCCCTCCATTATATCCTTACAGGGGCCAAACTTCAGCTCCATCAGAGCACTTTCCCCAACTATCAGTCCAGTCTGTGCACAAGGCTCCTGCACACATGCCCACTCCTGAAAGATCCACCTCCTGGCCTTTGTCAAGAGGGGCTAAGGTGGAGGGTGGTGGTGGTGTGGAATCTGTACAGAACAACCAAAACCTACATTCCTGAGGGGGGGAGAGGGAGGAGAAGAGGTTGGATTTATACCCCACCCTTCACTACCCACAGGAGTCTCAGAGCGGTTTACAATCTCCTTTCCCTTCCCCTCCCCACAACAGACACCCTGTGAGGAAGGTGGGGCTGAGAGAGCTCTTTCGAGAACTGCTCCTGAGAGTAAAGCTCTGAAAGAACTTGTAACTGACCCAAGGTCCACACAAGCAGCTGCATGTGGAGGAGTGGGGAATCAAACCTGGTTCTCCCAGATTAGAGTCCGCACTCTTGACCACTGCACCAAACTGGCTACAGTCACCTGCATCTGTTCAGTTATTGAGTTGGAACAAATCTTAATACAATTTAAAATACATAGCAGTTAAAACTAAGGCCTAGTGCTAGTCACTGGTTATCCTGGGGGGGGGGGGTGTTGCCTCAGTGGCCAAGGGTGGGAGCAGGTTAATTTCTTTCTACACAGAGGGACAGGATGTAGCAGGCACATTTTCTTTCCATAAGGAAGCTGCCATTTAGTTTTTCTAGTTCAGGAGTTTAAATATCTTGGGCCTTCTCTGGAAAAGAGGTCAGGTGAAATTAAACCCTGGCTCTGCTACATCCCCTGTGACAACAGCAAATATTTTCCCCTCCTTCAGTACACAAGCAAAAAAGATAATTTGAAAAGTATTTTTTAAAAGATGCATGTGTACCCATTACAAGCTTACAAAATGTCCTTCACGGAAAGGCTCCAACCATAAACTGGGTTGCCAGCTGGCATGTATCTGGAAAAGGGCAGGACCCACCAGGTACTTGCTGCAAAACTGAGGGGTGGGGTGGGGGACAGGAAAGACCTAATAGGAAGTTTTGAAAGGCCTACCTCGGCACCACCCCAGCTGTTTTCCCTCATGAGCTGAAGGCCTTGGAAGACCTGGTGAGACTAGACAGGACCAGGGACTCTCTGACCTCATGCAAAATTGTCCTTCTGATTATGAGGAATGGTAATGTAATGGTAATGTGGCCCAAGAAATAAAGAAAAATAATTAAAAACCAGTCTGTCTGCTATTTCCCACATTGTATATAAAAAACAACACTCAGCTGCCAAGCTATCAGAAAGGGGGGGGGGGGTAGTAGTTATGCCAGTGGAGAACTTGCCAGTTGGCAATTGTGAATGGAACACAAGAGCTGCAGCTTTTTCGTTTATTTTGTTGCCTTAGACAGTTTGTCCTTTGCATCGTTTTCTGGTTCTGTAATCCTAGTCCTATTTGCCTTGTTTTGCTTATTGGAGGTCTTTGCTGCCTGACTGAATTGCTTTTCATATTTTGTAACCTGCCTTGAGTCTGAGAGAGAAAGGCAGGCTATAAATGCAGTTAATCATAATCAAAATAATGCACTTGTTCTTCACTTGTTTACTGTTTTTGCCAGTGTCACTGCAAAATCACCTGAATGCTGCTTTGCTAGTAATTCTTGTATTCCTTCAGATAAGCAAGGTAAAGGTTTCATTCAGAGACAACACCAGCTACATAGACATGCTTGGAAGGTTGTGGCTCAGTGGAAGAGAAGAAGAGTTGGTTTTATACCCCACCCTTCACTACCCGAAGGAGTCTCAAAGCGGCACAACAGACACCCTGTGAGGTAGGTGGGGCTGAGAGAGCTCTTTTGAGAACTTTGGCTGACCCAAGGTCATCCAGCTGGCTGCATGCAGAGGAGTGGGGACTCAAACCCAGTTCTCCAGATTAGAGTCCGCCACTCTTAGGAGAGTGGATTCTTAATCGGGAAAACCGGGTTTAATTCCCTACTCCTCCACACACAGCTGCTGGCA